ACGAGAAAGAGAAAATCTTTTTTTACCCATCGATTATTTTCTTTCGTAGAAATATAGTGCAGGATAGAGTCAATATTAATTTTATATATATATATATTGAGAGAGAGAGAGAGAGAGAGAGAGAGAATAATTAATATTTTAATTAAGTTTGTACGATAGAAAATAGAATTAAAAAATAATGTTAAAATCTTGGCAAGAATTTCCGAGAGTCATTTGAGGAACTCCAAGCATCTTCCTTCTCGTATCCCTTTAAACCACCTTAAACCAGCTTTCAGAACGCGACGGCTCGGTTATTCTTCTTCATTAAGCAACGATGCACAACGAGACCTAAGTAAATATACTTCAAGACCACGTCACGGAAAGGAAGAATAAAAAAGAAAAGGAAAAGAAGAAGAAAAAGGAACAGGTGAATGCGCCTGTATCTCTCATTTCCTTATTTCACCCTCTCTCTACCTTAGAGTTCTACCTCAGAGAATGTTTTGTTTTAATAATTTATCGATCCTGTTCGACAAGCAACTTCTATTCTTTTTCATTTGTTTGTTAGCAATGAAAATACATAAACGAAAAGAGTTTATTCGTTTACCAACCATATTGTATGTTAAAACTTTGAATATATCACAACAATAGATATTAACTCAGCGTTATATCTTACGAAATAAATTTAATAGAAATCAATACCTACGTCTTTCATTTCTAATTGTAAATTAACTTTTAGTGGTTATATTATCAACAACATTACGAATGCGTATAAAATCAATAACTCATGTCTGGCGACTGGCCTAATAAAATAAATTATCATTTCAAACATGTCTTATCTTAAGAAAACTGACAGTATCGGGAAGGGCGGATCTTAGTGACAAAAATTATCGTCCTCTTGGTTAAGGCTGACAAAAAATCTTTCGAATCTATATTCGAACCGTATAGAGAATTCTATATATTCAACCGGAACGCCGTTCCCCAGCCAACTCTCGCGTTTTAATCTTGGTACAGGATCTTCGTGAGATGTCTTAAGAGCACGGAATCAATTACCGCGACTTTCACCGCGTGGGCGCGCCACATCTGGCGTGTCCGGCTCTCCTACGTGGATTAGTATACGTTCTCTCTTTTACTATGTGTGATCGTCCATGTAAGCTTAAATACGTATAAAGTGTGAGTAATAGCTATGGCGCACACTGTAACGTGGAATTAACAACGACAAGGTAGAAGAAGTGGTAATGGTGAAGGTGTGCGTGGACGACCGTTAACTGAAAGAAATACGATGGATATTCATTGATCTCACCGTGAAGCTGATAATTTTATGCGTGTAAAGCCAGTCAAATACTTCTTCGATTTACAGAATTTTTTTGAATTTTTATTGTCTCTTATATATTCGAAAATCCAACAAAATTTGCAAGTATTCATTATTTCGCATTATTCAAATTGACGGAGATATTTCAAGTTATTATATTATCGCTTCTTGCGCAAAAGAAATGAAAAGGTAGAGTGCGAAGGAAAAGAAAAAAAAAGAAGAAATTGAATAAAGGTGATTTTCTCAGACGCAGTGGTTTCCGTTCTTCTTTCCTTTCTCGCTACAGGGTTTCCCTTTAAGCATGCTTGAGTTAACGAGAGTGCCGAGCGTTCTCTATCCTGACATTACCTACATCAAGAAATCTCCTTGACCATTCTACCTTCTTTTTGATCTTTCGATTGATTGATCGCAAAAGAAGGAAATAGAGGAATATACCTTGACGCAACTGTAATGTTAAAGTTTGAAAAGATCACTGTGAATAAAAACATGAATCAATTTTATTCCTTGTAATATTAAAAGCATTGATTTTATCTGTTTCGTTAAGAATTCGTCAGTCCAACAAATATCATACCGTTCGCACAAGCAATTATCAATGTTTTTTTTCTTTTTTTTTTTTTCAAATATTAGGATGAATAATGACGTAAAGAGTATCGAGTAATTTATAAAAAAAAAAAAAAAAAAAAAAAAAAAAAAAATACCATCGACCGTCTGGAGTCTCGAAATGGCGGAATAATCGTGGCAATGCGTCTCCCTAGTATTGGAACGTTTTCGAAGTTATCGGGAATGATCTTGCAAGGCCCGATTGTAAGCACGCGGCATGGTTGGCTCGTGGTATCGGTGGTGGTATAATACGCGATTACAAGTTGCACTGCTATCTTGATCTGAGATTAGTCGAAGCACGACCTCCAGCCACTTTGACTTTCAGACATCCTCCTTCGTGCCTCTCCTTTCTGAGTACTTTCACGTCAAAGGAACGTCGACGTTTGGAAGTCGCGACCTGAAACCAAGGTGGTTTGATGCACTCTTCTCTATCACCTTCGTTTTCACTATTCGCCTATTCTCGATTAGGGAGCTGTCACTTCAAGCTAACTACCCATGGTCTTACCACGCCAACAACATAGTTTTGTTACTTGCTTGAGCTATTAACACAGTATAATTCCGAATCAGTGTAATTTCTGATCTTAATTAAAAGATTTAATGATAAAAGTGTTTAATACCAATCGCATGTACTTGAACGCATACCAAAATCTTATAATGATTCAATTACAAAATTGAACCTGTGAAATAATTGCGAAGAATATAGTATAAAAAATATACACGCGCGCGCGTATACAACACACATAAGAACACACAAGAGAATGGTAGAAAACATGGAAATAAAACATTCGAAGAATTCGTATAACGAGAGACGTTTAACTGCGTGGGTCTGTTAAAGGATCGGATTATCCAATGGAGTGGGACTTTGGGTTGGTGAAGAGAGGGAACGGGGAGACGAGTGGGAAAAGAAAGGAGATTTCTCGATGGAAAGGAAGAGAGAACTTCCACTTGGGCGCACTTGAATGGATCTCCAAGCGAGGGGCCGCAAGTCCCTGGTCTAACCACGATGGAAAACCAACAAAGCTTCGTTCTTCTTTACAATGGGACTCTCGAACAGCCCAGCCATCGGACCGCTAGTTCCACGTTTTTGTACGTAAAGCGGATACATTGCGCGTGCGCACATAACCTCTACGTCACATGTATTTGTATGTTAAAAAATTTAAAATAGCAATTCCAACTTTCACGCGTACAAGGATTTTACATTTTCAACGAGAAAACGCAAAAGAAGAAGGGTATGGATTGATTAATTATCCGTCAATAATTAACCTTCATTATTCTTCTGTACTTTTATTACTGGTATTGTGTTTTGAACAAAGGATACATCCCGGACGGACATTAAATATGACGAAAGATAATATCGAATATGAATATTCTGACTGGATTTCATCGTAGCTATCCTGCGTCTGTATGCGATACGTGGAGCGGTGCATAGTCGATTAAAAATTATTTTAAATTTTAAACGGCAATAAAGGAGTCATTATATCAACAGCCGTATTCGGTGATATTTAACACAGGATTCTCATGTAAAATGGTATTCCGTTGATAGTAAATTCAAAGAGGGATGCGAATACGAACTTGAAAAAATATATATCCCGTTTAAATTTATTTCATGTCTACAGATATTTAATAGAATTTCGTACGAACTTTGTGATCTGAAAATATTTTAGATATTAAAGATTTTATCAAGTTTATAACATTATATTCAATCGGCGAAACGAAATGCATAAAATATCGTATAATATAAATTTATCTTGTGTCTACATTACTATTAATTAAGTTGATAATGAAAAAGGATACAACTAATTATTTTTTGATATAAAATATACACGAAATGGGTTAAATGTTTCATAATTACATAAAAACAGAACCTTTTCCAGCCCCTTCTCAAAGAGGCAGGAAGAAGGAAGCGCGTAAGCACGAAGCTGAACGACCCCAGCGATTTCTTTATACTAATTGAAATTAGTAGCGAGTAACCGACAGGGCAAAAGAGAGAAAAAACGCTCTGCTCGACGCGAAGAGGGCTGACGTGTTCGAAAAAAAATAAAATAAAGGGCTAAACAAGGGAGAGACCGCTTCTCTCTCTCTCTCTCTCTCTTTCTCTCTCTCTCTGTCTGTCTATCTGTCTGTCTCTTTCTCTCTGTTTCTCATGTGTTTTCGTTCGGCAATGACTGGCGAGATGTGCTCTAAGTTCGACTTTTAGACGTTCAACTTCAGAAACGAGACGGTCGAGAATAACAAATGATCGTCATTACGGTGTCGAGCATGATGAAAGAGAGAGAGAGAGAGAGAGAAAGAGAGAGAATCGTCGTTTCGAAAACTTATACTAACGTTTGAACTTAGGTATAGCGTTTCCTTTTTTGAAGAGATAGTCATTATTACATAATGATCACTATCCTCATTTCCTTTTTTGGGAATCGTTAATCTTGTTCTATGATTCTATACTTTGATGAATCGAACGACAGAAAGATAATTTTGGTTCAATTATGATGTTTTTGGGTTTGGATCGTTTTTCTACATCCTGAATCATTTTCTTCATCATCTCTAATTATGGCGTATAATATTTTGAAACGATACCTGATAGCATACCTGAAGATAATTTTGGACAATTTAAAGTATAATTATGGTAAACAAGACGAAACCTAATTTTGAAATGATTCGTCTATGTGAAACAATCTAGTCGATACGATAAGCGATATAAAAAGAGATACGAATTCTGAAAAAAAAAGTAAATTTTCGAATTGAATTATTTAGATTAAAAACATATTTCAAAGACAAATATTAGTAATTGAAATATCACGGAAGTGATGTTTTACATGTTCCTCAAATATTATTTCAAAATGATAAGACGATTGAAGATATGTTTCGTAAAAAATAATTTATATCTTTGCACGGCTTAGGTGTCAAACGAGTTTTCCCGTATAGCAGTGGATGGAAATATCTGGTCATATCCAAGCCAGACAGACAACTCGGACCTAACACTGATCAGTCGACGGCCTCGTACCAGACTCGTCAAGATCCATTTGCGGACTGGGATGTACAGCTGCATTACCGTGTCGTGGTGCCAAATACTAATGGTAGGGAAGCGAATAGTGTCGTTACGGAACCTCACACTCACCGCACTCCACCCCTCACATCTCCCAACCCTAACTCCCATCTCGCGTAGTCGTGTTTCTCTGCGTTCGGATGCATAACACGGCCGACGGTGTAGGAAACCAGACTGAGTGACCTTGATGGAAAGGCAAGAAATGCACACTCAATATACATTTGTCGGACCTCATCGATCAAAAGTAACAACCGAGATGATTTCAATAATAATTCAATAAGACGAAATCATATTGTATTGTAGAAAACATTAGGAAAAATAACAATGAGATCGGGGATTTCATTGATAATGTTATAAGAAATAAATCAGATTGAATGTTGAAAGAAATAATACTCATTGATGTACCAGCTATGGTAACTGAAATTACCAAACCACGGAGTGAGGTCCCAAGTGGTAAGCGAGATTACGGGAATGAGAAGAACTCAAAGAGCGAGAAAGAAAAAAAACAATCCGTAAGAGAGGAAGAAGAAGAAGAAGAAGAAGAAGAAGAAGAAGAAGAAGAGTGCGCAGGGTGGAGGGGTGGCAACGTAGGAGGTTAAGACGTTGTCCTGCCAACAGGTGGTAGCAACCTCACACCACAGTCAGCTATCCTCTTCTACCCAACCCCTTTTTCGCCCTCTGTGGCAGCAACCACGACGATAACCCGCGGCGACACCCGATAAAACGGCTCGTAGAAGAGGGTTGGGGGTCTCTGTTACGATGCGCATGGGATAAGTGGGTCGTGCAGCATTAGACAGAAAGAGAGAAAGAATGTGCTGCTAGCAGAGAAGAAAAACACTAGAGAGATTATCGGCCTTGGCTACTCACTCGCGCACTATCAAATAATCTTTCGTTCCGTTAACGTATCTTCTGAAAAAAAAAAAAAAAAAAAAAAAAAAATAAATAAACAGACCAAGAGAGAAACTAAAGAATATATGCGAGATGTTATTTGCAAGTTTATCAAAATATTTCGAATGTTAATCAAATTTTATCAAAAATTTGTATCGACAGAATAAACTAAGTATTATTAATCTTTTATTCTTCAAGATGACCTAGTATGTCGTTAGTTTTGTAGCATTCAAAAATGAGAATGTGTGGACGAAAACCAGTATCGGATTTTCTCCAATAAAAAAAAAAAAAAAAAACAATGTTCACTATACGCAACAGCAGTTAACAATATTATTTGCTCAAACTTTTTTACGCGGCAAACAGCACTTTCTGAAGAGGGGAAGGAGAGAGAGAGAAAGGAAAGAGAGAGAGAGAGAGAGAGAGAGCGAACGAGAAAGCAAAGAGCCAATAAATCTGACGATGTGGAAAGGGTAGCGCGTTCGAAACCGCAGAACTAAACAAACAATAAATTCCATTTGGTAAAACGAACGTTTTCGATTCCCCCGGGGGTCCCCTTTTACCAGAGGACAAAGGCCCGTTTGTTGGGTCCGTTGCTACAAAGGATTCCATTGGCAGCTACGCTGCACTGTACAACAACGTGCACCATGAACGCATATTCCTCTTTTTCTCTTTCTCTCTCTTTCTCTTGTACCTTCAGATATACCGTGAACTTCATCGCAGAAAGAAATGTAAAGGTGGATTTAGATAATCTATCGAATACGTGAGGTTCTCTCTCGCTATTGTGTTGGCATATGGTTATTATATTGTAACAATACATATGTCGTAATTATACCGTAACAATTCTGTTCGATAAATAATACAAATTAAATAAAAATTGTTTTAAGAAAAATTACAGAAATTAATAAAAGTAAATGTTATATTGTGATAATTATTAAAAATGAATTTATCACAAATGTTTGTTGACAATAAATTATTTATAAAACAATGAATAAAATGGATAGATCTAATTATCATTATATCTATAAATGTTCCAAGGATAGACCATCCAAGTGATTTGCTAGTAAGTTATAAGAACAATGGGAAATACAAACGATACAAAATTATATACATTGAAGAATATGGAGGGAAGGACTGGTAAAGAAAATGGCGAAGAGAGAGAATCCAAAGTGGAGAACTTAGAAACGTTCGGAAGCACAAACAACGGGCAAAGACATACACAATTCTATAGCTGTATAAAATGGCACGTCGCATGAATTATGAATGGATAGAGATACTTCGGAATCGTTGCGTAGAGTCCAAAGTAATCGATACCACGTAAACTTGCTAGGCAGACAGAAAAAGAGAGGCGGGGCGGAAAAGAAACTATCTCTCTCTGTGTGTGTGTGTGTGTGTGCGTGCGCGCGCGCGTGTGTATGTATTTATGTATTATTTCTATGATCGATCCTAAAAAGTAGTTACTATATTTCAACGAATAGATCTTAGCGCATTTAGTAAATTACAAAGGAACGATGATCTCAACTTGCTCGAGTAGAAAACGTGAGGTGAATGGTGCCACGCTGATTCTCGGCATTTGAGTTCAAGGGTTTTGAGGTGAAAACGGGACTGTGATTCCAGGCACAAACTGGATCGACGGGTTCCCGACTTGACGAAGCCCTCGACCTCCGACCTCCACCTTACTCTTGGAACTGGAGATGGAAGAAGAGAAGGGAGAGGAAGGAGAGGTCTCGGGACGAAGTTGGCGGGTTCCGTATAACCGTAGCTTCGCTACGCGGTACAACTCAGTATCAAATCCCGGAGGGCCGTTTACACGGCGAAGCCTTTGTGTCCAATCCAATTTCAAGGAAATGCATTTTCTCGGCTTTAAATGTCTCACTGTCTTATAGTTTTTAAACACGTCATATGTTTCAAAACTATAAGAAAATGTTACCGATGATCTTTCATAGTAATATTTTTAGAAATTTATCATTAAAATATTATCTCTCGTATTTGTTTTATTTAAAATGTTTAAATAGAAATATTGTAATAGAATAACAGGAATCATAGAATGTACTTCTATATGCTTTATCTTGATATTACAAACATCAAGGAACTTCTTTGACCAGTTTACTTTCTTTCTGATCTTTCGATCGATTGATCGCGAAAGAAGGAAACAAGTAAATGTGCCTTGGCGTGTAACGCTGATGTAAAAGTTTAAAGAGGCCACTATGAATAAGAGTTCAAATCAACTATCCTTCTTGTGAAATCAGAAGTATAGATTTTATTTGGTATTTATTATATTTCGGACAAATATAACGCAGTAATAATAAAAGGTTTATTAATTAAACAAAAAATTATTCAAAATATTATTAATTACATATCAATGTCAGAGAGAGAGAGAGAGAGAGAAAAGGAACAATCAATGTAACGAATATTAAATAGTCTATAAAATTATTATCCATCGTCTAGAATCTTGAAATGGTAGATTAATCGTTTAGAGGTACTTCTTTGTTTTCTCGATCGTTCAAAGGCTTCGTTCGAACTTAACGATACTGCTTTCTAATTAATATTTTCCAAGCATCTCCTAAATATTATTATACACTCGCATAAAAAATTTGACCATTTAGTTAACTATGGTTGGCTAATAACTCTTTGTTAACTTCTCTACATAATTCTTCGATTTACATTAAATACACTATGTATGTATTTCCAACGAAAAGATTTTAATGGTATTTTAAGCTATGGAGGTCTGTTAAGAATCAATATGCCTGACTAATTATGAATTTTTCAATATAATTTTTTTTGAATGAACCATAAAGAAAATCTTGAACAATTATGATTTAAAATTATATAAATTAAACATAAATTAAAAGTAAGGAATAAGAAATGTTTTTTGCAATCATATTTGGTTAGTATCAAATATAAAACACAATGGATAAAAAAGGGAAGAAAGAGAGATAGAGAAATAATGCAACGAAGAAGAGATCAATAAAATCGAATTTAAAAAAAGACGCATAGAGCTTCCAGAAAATACAAACTGCGACAACAAGTTCAGTACTTTTCTATACGCCGTTAGTGACGTTCATGAAAGAGTAGGAGAGAGTTAGAAGGAGTGAAGAGTATGGAGGTGAAGGAAGGAAGGAAAATTCGCAAGCTTCTCTTCTACTATTTCGACGGGACGCATTGGTCCATGGTAGAGTGCTCGTCTCTCGCTTCTCGCAAGAAGGACGGACAGATCCAAATTGAAATGTAATGTACACTCCTCTCCCCTTGCCGACCCTTTCTCTCGGTCCCCACCCCTCTTTCACTTCCTTCTTCCTCTTCTTCTATGTCTCTCTTGCTCCTTCTCTTGCGCATTTCGTCCTCATTGGTTTCTCTCTACCTCTACCTCTCTCTCTCTCTCTCTCTCTCTCTCTCTCTCTCTCTCTCTCTCTCTCTCTCTCTCTCTCTCTCTTGTTCTCTCTTTGTCTCTTTCTCTCATTCGCTCGAAGATGGTTCGTTCGTTGAGGGAGGAGGAACTCAGAGAATAGGGTAGGGGATAAGTGTAGGTGATTTACTACTCCAGGCTTAATGAAGGCTGTTTACTGCTAATTAAAACGAAGACCCATTTATACCATATCCTGCTACGTGAAACGATTTCACTGATTCGTGTCGTTGCATAGACTATTCTCTTTTTTTCCTCCGAGATCTATCTATCTTTTCAGTTTCTCGAATTTCTTCAAACGAGGAAAAAATATCAGAATAACGAAGAATAAGATAGGAAATAGATTTACTATTGAATAAATTCGTCATTCATCTAGCAGATGAAAAGTGAAGATATGTAATAAAAATAATATAAACTGTTATCAAAGTTATTCGAAACATCTAGACCAAGTTTCAAATTTATTCCGCCAGAACAATCTATTGGGCTCTTTGTCTTCGTTCAATTAAATAGCAAGAATTGTCTTACACGCATAGTACCATGCAAAGAGAGATAAAGGGAAAATAACGACCTTAGAAGGGTGAAAGTTGAAGAACATAGAAAGAAAATAATAAAAAGAAGAGTTAAGAGAGCGAGAATGGGAAGAGAAATGTTGCCGAAAAAACAAGAAAGGAGAAGAAATGTAAGGACATAACGAGAAAGAAAACTGTCAGGATGGGGTTTAACGAGCTACATCAGCGAATTGCTAGATCGTACTTGTTTGATAAAAGTCAACTGGCTGATAATGATAATAACCATAGAAGCTAAAGGATATATGAAGATATAAGTAATGAATGGATTTTAACAGCTTAGATATTTGAAGAGAAAACAATATATACATATGAATTATGGTTATCCC